GCCCACTCCACGCGCCCAAGGTCAAGCTCACGCAAAGAGACGAGAGCCGGCAGCGCCGCAAGAGCAAGCGCCGCGTTCTCACCATGGAAGTCGTCGAGGCTGAGGTGAGGCCACGTGTGGACGTACGGGCCAGGTCGCGTCAGCCGCAGTTTGGTTGCCGCCAACGACGCCGGTGGCAACGTCTTTAGAAAGGCGATGGCATCGCGCGGCGACTGGAGGCCCTGGGCGATCGAAGTGAGGACGTGCGGAAAGCTCAGCACGGTCGCGGCCTCGGGGCAGGCGCGCTTGGCTGCCACGCGTGATAGCTAGGCGAGTGCAAACGTACGAGCACATGACGTTGGACCCATCAAGTACCGGCACACTGGCGTCGTGTGCACTTGGGACTGGCGTGAGGTCCGCGAGATCGTCGCGGGTCGTGTGGTGCTTCTCGAAAGACGGCTCGGTGACGAGATCGGCGTCATCGGGTGGCCGAGCCACGGTGCACCCAAGACACCCAATGACATTGCATGTGGAGACTAGAGTTACGACCACCGATAGCGTCATATTCGTTATCGTCGAGCTACGACTCGGCCAAGAAGGCAAACGGGTCGTTGCCAGAGTCCGTTGCTGGCGTGTACTCGATGACGTTCAAGATTCTCTGGAGCCGCTCGGGTCCAAAAGCGACGTGAGGAACGCGCAGACCATGTCCATACCTGCCGTGACGCCCGAGCTCGTCCAGACGTTGCCGTCGACGACCCAGCGCGCGTGTTTGACCCACTGCACGCGACCGTCACCGAGCACTTGAATCTCGCGAAATGCGACCTTGTTGGTCGTGGCGCTCTTCCCGTCCAAGAGGCCACACGCCGCGAGGAAGCCCGAGCCCGTGCAGACGCTCAGAACGTACTGCGCACGGGAGCTGTGGTGCTTGATGAAATCCTGGTAGGCAGCATCGTGGAAGAGGCTGCGGCAGCCCTTGCCGCCTGCTCAAACCATTTATATCTGCAAAATAGAAGTCGCGTGAGTGTACCTGGTACGAGGAGGACGTCGAGCGCTGGCGCCGATGCAAACGAATAGCTGGCAACAATAGAGCAGCCGCCGGTGGGCGGCCGCGAGTACAAGGTGCCGGCCTCGCGCGCGATGAGGATCGTCTCGATGCCGTCCTCGAGCTGCTCGAAAAACTGAAGTGGGCCTAGCAGGATGGAGATATTGTCATGTGGGTGCAGAGAGTGGACAACATGGGGCACGTACCTGCAATGTCCAAGGTCGCAAAGCCCGGAAAGACGAGGATGCCCACGACGAGTTTGCCGTGCGTCGCCATACTGTCGACTGCCAAAATAATGGCGATCTGCCATCGATGCACTTGATGTTTGTATGGCATACAGCGATGTTGTTTCGCGTATCTTTTGCTCGAATGGGTTTCTTCGCGTTATTTCACAGCTGCGATGCTGCAGGTGTGTGGGAGAATGTTGCGCGGGGACCGTGCTCTGCACTCTCTTGGTGACAACAAGGACATCATGTCGACTTATCAATGAATGAATCCACGCATCGAATATGTCGTACCCACTGACATCACTAGATGATGAGTCACAAGCCCTAGACCTAAACCTAAACCTACACAAAAGAGCGGGAACCCTGCTTGTCGTGAGCTCTGTGCACATAGCATATCACAATATTCTCTAGCAACGTGATGTTAAATACTACGTTTTCTACTGTAGTACTGATCGCCTAGTCGGCGTACGAGCCTCGGGGCCCACGTCGGCGGTACAACGACGTTGGACCGGACGCCCGCAAGAATCGGACCCACGGGAAACGACCGCAGCGCGACGGGCCACTGCGCATCGTGGACACCCACCACGTCATCACTCGGGATGTTAACCGCACTCTCCCATCGACGTTCAATGGGATAGCAAATGGCCGGCGAGCTGGACTGTCAACGGCGCGACGTTCCGGCCTTCGCGCAATTCGATCGCCAGCAGCGCCGGTTGTCGAGTGGGTTGTCCTTGAGGCTCCGATGCCCTTGGCCCATCCATTGGGGCAACATGAGGCCGATCTTGGCAGCCGCCACTGCGCAGTTGTCCAGCAGCACCTCGGTGCGACCGTCTTTCCTCCCTTCCCGAGCATCTGACGAGATGGATCTTCTTGGACATGATTTTTGTTTCAACTTAGACAAATACAACGTGGTGGGACGTGCTAGCAGCTCTCTGACGGCTTCACGCGCTTGGTCGGCGGCCCGTCTTTATCGGCGCCATCGTCGTCCGAGGTGTGCTTGTTCTGCTCGCCGAGGTACTCGCGAAGCCGAGCAATCTTGGCCAGCGTGCGCGCGCGGTGCCCGGGACGCACCTCCTCGGGGTCATCGTCACGGTTGTCGAGTCGCTTACGAAACGTCGCCACGCACACGTTTGGGTAAATAGCATGCGACGTGATCGCAACCTCGAGCCGCATCGGAAGGTGCGCAGCAAACGCTTCCAGGGTTGCGCACCACGTGCGTCTCGAGTCCTCGTACCACTCGATGTGCCACTCGCTGTCGGTTGGCGACTTGAGGAACGCCTCAAAGCGTCGACAGCCGCGGCAGCACGGCGTGAGCACGACGTTCGTGATGGCCAAGCTTCGCGCGTCGCGGTCGTCGGTGGCCAGCACGGGGAGCATCGCGGCCGCGAGCTGTCGTTGGCTCACCAGCGCCAGGCCAAGGCACGAGGCCTCTTGCAGCAGCGGCCACAAAAAGGACGTGGTGCAGCGCCAGCGCCCCACCGACTCGCTTCGACGACCGA